AACAAGGACAAGAAGAAAAAAACAGGAAAAAAGCAAATTGATAAGTAGTAAACAAAACAAGTTCTATCAACATAATGGTAAGATGATGCTTGTAACATCAACCAGTATAGCAGAGAATGTTGCACATTTTGAACTCCATTCTTGTGCAAGGAGAGGTCCAGCAGTTAACAACTGCAGTTAGTTAACAGTTAACCAAGAAATAAAGAAGGAAAGTTTGGCCTGCGGGGGAGGACCTCCATACAAGCATGCTTGTTTCTGTTTAAACTGTGTATCACAAAAACTGGATTTTATTCTAATAGTAATAATTAGAGAGAATTTATTCTTCAATCACAGCAAAAGGTTGGTAATAAGAATTAAAAGAACAACCTAACCTAGGCAGATTTGCTGGCTGGCCTCAAGAAGTTAGTTCTATTCAAACTACCATAAGCAGATGTTAATTATTTCAACAAGCCTTTAGGATATGTGGTTATTACAGAAGTTTTTTCTCCTCTTTGCCTTGCCATGAGAACACAACATTATTTTAAAACTGGTTTAGATGTTATGTTTCCCTGAAAGAAGGGGTCACATCTGTCCATCAATAAGGCAGACTCCCCTTCACATCACCCTCACCAACCCACACGACAGTAGAGGATCCCCAGTCCAAAACAAGCTCTTCTCAGGGTTCACCAGTGATTCCACACAGCTTTCCTCACTTTCAGTTTGCTGGAGAGAACAAGCATTTATCATACATTGTGCAAAACACAGCACAGAATGAGCTGGGCCATGGATACAACCAAGCCAAAGACACTGACACTGCCAGACCACATTATGAATGGCATCTAACCAGAACAGGATTTTGAAACAAGCAAGATGTGATGGTCAGTAAGATACAAGCACATCTGGTAAAGACACTGAGAGCTGCATGTCTCCATTTGGTGCAAGGTGGCAACTACCACGAACTGCAAAAGCTGGATTTCTAGAGAGTTCTTGGGGAGCTAAGTGATTCTGGCTCATATCTACCAATGACACAGGGATATGTAAGTGACATTCTGGAAACGAAAGTTAGACTTCTAGATTAGAGGCTTCAGATTTAAAGCCTTAATGGGAGTTCTGCCTTGACTAAGGGCTCCATCTTAATCAAAATGAATAAGGTTGTTAGAAATAAAATAAAAAATCACAAATTTGCATGAAGACTTAAGTTGAGAACAGGTAAAATATCAAAAAGAAGTTAGGAGTATGTAAATGAAACTATTGCTACATCAGGTAGTAATGGTGCCCAATAAAATCAGATTTATAGAGCAAAATGGTGTGACAACCTGATGCCACGGGGTTTGCACTGAGGGAGGTTTCCTCTGGGCCACATCTAGCCTATGGACTGATTGCCTTTTAGCAGGTAGACTGCATCTTCCAAAGTACATGAATTTTAAAATTTCATCTGAATCCAGTTCGTACACTCCAACACCACTCTCTGATGTGAACCAAAGTGTAATAAGCAGGAAGAAGTGAGATTCACTTCAGAAGCACACTCTCGATCTAAAGTAAAAATGCCAATGTGTACACTATGCCAGTGAAGTAAGCGCTAAACCAAAAGGATATCTTTCCTCAGTAAGGCTATGACAACAAATTACTAGAAAACCAACAGTAGCAAGAATGCAGTTGCAATCAGCATGATGTAGATATATTGTATACAACCTCACCATATTCTTGCTTAATATGACAGATTTTTTTCTAACATTTTAATAAAGTAGATTGACTTTATTACTAATAAGGAGTGCTTTGCGTAGGAGAATATATTTTTCTGACTATCCTTGACAGCTTACTATAAGTTCAGCTTTTACTGTCTCAGATTCCATACATGCTCATCAGTTTGTCTTCTTTTCCAGGTATGTTCACCAGAGATAGTATCTCTTCCTACAAAGTTCTCATATTGTATAAGCACCTCACCAGAAGAGAAACATTTTTAGAGAAAACGACGAAGAAAATACTTTAAACCCATCTTAGTACCTACCCTGGTAAGTTGATCTCATTTCTCTTCTGACCATGACGATCAAAAATTTTCACAGCATGATCACCTCTGAAAAAGATTAACACACAGAATAATTCCATTTCTTCATCAGTGATTTCTATGGACAAATGCAATAAATATTTGTAATCTTACCCTGTTACAGCAAGAAAAATTCCCAAAGTTTTCTGCCAAGCAAACTGCACAGGGGAACCAGACCAAGCTTTTTCTAATAGACTGAATACTTGCTAAGAGACAAAAAAAGGTGGAAAATTACATATCGTAAACTCATAAGTGCATAAGAATAAACAACTTTCTAACATGTTAGCAATTGTAAGTATTGTGGAAGAAAAACAAAATAACCCTCAAACACAACTTCTGGATGATTCCAATGCACCAAAGTACCAAAATTCCACAGAAAAATCTTTTGGTTTGTGCTGGAAAAATGTAAGTTTCTCATTTTGGGTGTCTGCATTGAAAATTACTGTGACTCTATCACAGCTAATATGTTTTCTCTTACAGAGTTACTGCAATGAAAAAATTGCAGGAGATTCTGCCCTTCAAGTCCAAAGACCAGAATGTTTAGTTCTCCAGATTTCATGGAAAAGTCTGGGACCAGAAAGCATCCTTAACATATAAAACACAGAAGGCTCAACATCTACACTTTTAAAGATACGTAATTATTTCATCCTCTCTGAATTGTTGGGTCTTAAAAGCCAAGTTCTCAAAGCTACTCAACCATAAAAGGAGATTCTGACTTCCCATTAAGAAAGTTTCTCAAATTCCTTTTCCTTGCGTGCTACCTGCACAGATTTTTCTATAACTTGGGCGTAAGATAAAGCCCACAACTTTGTTTCGCAGCTTGCTATCATGACTTTATCCCTCCCACATCATCAGATAAACACCAACACCTGGTGTCCACCAAATGCCTGGCAGGCTTATTCAAGTCTTTGCCAAAGTTCCCCCATGGCTTCTTTTGGGTAAATGTAAACTGAGGCATTCTTCACGTTGAACTTGCATTTTACTCACAAAAAGTGTAAAATTACGAGCACCACGTGCCACGAGCACAAAGAACGTCTGACAATTATGTTTGATTTTGAACAAAATTTAATAAAATCTGTAATAAACCAACGATAAAGAAAATCATTACGGGAGTGCAGGCAAGCTCCAGGTCTCACCGTACAGTAATGCACAAGCGAAAACCCCGTAAGGGGGTTGAGCAGCAAACTTCCCTTTCGGCCCAATCACCTAACCGTTGCCCGGGGAGGGTTTCTC